TATATATATATATATATATATATATATATATATATATATATATATATATATATACACACCTTTAGTATTTGAAATAATTAATATATTCTGTGATAATATATATCAAAGTTTGATATAACTTTCTTCAAAGTTCAACAAATAGTTTGAATAATAATATTTTTAATGGTTGGGGGTGCTTTGACACACATACAATTACAGATTACGAAAAGTCACTGAAATTAAACTTTATTTCCCATGTTTACAATTTTTCATTTTTAATTTAAAATCATCTCAATATCCAACCACTGGTTAAGTTTGACTTCTTGGGTACTCTGCTGTGTATTAAACTACTTCCTGTGTATAGGGATAAGGAGACAAATGACCACAGATAGACTGCTAGCCCTCAAGGCATTCACACCTGTACAAAATGAGCCCCTCCCCCACCTGGAATTTACCACCCGGTAAAAAATCTCTGCCTTTAAGGTTTTCACTTCAAATCACAATTATTTACATTTGCCAATGTCTATCCTTATATATTAATAGTAATTAAATTGACATTCAATTTTCAATGACATGAAGTTGGTCACGTGATCAGACTTTCTTGCGTATGGAAAACAAACCGCACTAGACTTTTGGAAGGGCCAGACTGTGACGTCACATAATGTCGTACATGTATGTTATGTTGAAGTTCCATATCAAAGTCTAAATAGTGCATATTTTTCTTTGTAACAGCAATAAAATATAAAATATAAATATAAGAAATAAAATATCACTTTTAGAGTTTCATTGGGATATGACATGGAGTTGATACGCCTTCGGGCGTTATCGTAGATTTGATCCCCGTGTGACCAACTTCATGTCATATCCCAATGAAACTCTAAAAATGACATCTTATTTCTTAATTATCTATCATATATAAGAATAAGGGATGCATATTTTTTTCTTTTTTCGTTTCTGTAGGAGTACTGTCAGAATTACATTAAGTATATTGTACGTGTTGATAACTCCACCCTGTATTTTTGTGGAACTGATGCCAATACGCCTTCCGAGTATAAAGCTACCGTAACGGTGAGTGAAAACAGTTTCTTTCAAAGTAAATTCACACTTTTCCCTGTCCTCAGGTTTAATACCAAAATATATAGATATAAAGGCATTTGCATAGCTCAGATATAAATAAATATGCATGAAAATAATTGTCTTTGTGTTATATTATTTATACAGTATTACAGTGACTGAATTCTCATATGTATTTCAGATAAATGATAATGAATTAAGCATATTATCATCTCAAAAATCCGCTGCGTGTCCAAGGGACCCCAAGGACAACACAACTGCAGTTTATGTCAGTGAGTATGAAGAATCTGACCTCATTTAAAGGAGAAATGAGCATTGGGAATTACTGTTGCCTTTACTTTTAAAGTTATCAAACTAATTTTATTTTCATGAAAGCAGATTTTCATGTACAAATGCTGTCTGAAAAATAATATAATTAACAAAGGTAGGTTTTGTGTCTAATGATTCTCTTAAACACCACATCATCATGACTGATTTAGGTTGAAACAGATCCAAAATAGGTGCCTTTCCCATGTAGACAAAATAAGTCTGATATTGCTTCTCAATTTGAAAATTTTGCAAAGAAAATATGAAAAATGAAAAATTCAAATGCATTCATAAATTGCATTATAAGAGATTCAGCAAGCATTTTGAATCCGTGAGGTTTTAGATTGAAATATTACCCATTTATTACATTATATTATAATTGTTTTTTAAAAAGCTGTAATGAGATATGGTCTTAATCTGTTTCGTCTATTGATTTTTGATAATCTACAGAAACTAGATCAGGCAATGGATGACCTAGTTCTGGTAAAATTATACAACATCCCCTTATATAAGCAGTGTATATAGCCATCATCCAGAATAAACAAATATGTATATGGCCCCAGAAACACTCTTCACTCTGCAAAATATACGATTTAACACTGATGTATTACACAGGTTTCTTGGTTATGAGTTTTTTACTTGTCTAGAGAAAAAAAAATTGTAAGAATTTGGGAATATTTGATTTCATAAAAAAATTCCGTATGAAAAGTGTTTAAATTCTAGCTTTATATCAAACTTTTAACAAGAATCTGTGAAGACTACCAGAAGATGTATAGCTTGCATCAACAACAATTATTATATTGATTTGCATTGTGTCTGTAGCCAGCGGTAACCCTGGTGACGTACCAGCCCTCTACTCGGCAACCATCCTTGACAATGGGAAGGCCACCATATCCAGACCACAACTTGTAAAAGATGGTGTAAAAATGAGTGAAAAACTGGAGAATGCAGACCCCATCCGCTGGCTAAATGGTAAAAAAAAATATACTAGATCCTGAGCATTGATAGAAGTCTAGCAGAGTTATCCTTCTAGAAACTTACAAATGACATCAATAAATTTATAAGAAAGTAATTTTTTTGAGAAGCAGATTATTTTGTTCCAAAATGGTGGTATATAGAAACATAACTGTTGCAGAACCCCAGTTTGTGGCATCTTTTGATGTGGGTGAAGATGTTTACTTTTTCTTCCGGGAAATTGCTCTTGAGTACACAAATTTCATGAAAAAAATGGTCTCCAGAGTTGCAAGGGTTTGTAAGGTAAGGCACACATTCACTCATAACAACCAAGAAAAATAATGAAAATCAAAAGTTACTTTAATTTTTGTGATAATTTTTTTACTTTGTAGAGAGACCTTGGAGGAAGTAGCTTCCTCGTCAACAAATGGACGACGTATCAGAAGGCCCGACTGAACTGTTCCTTACCTGGGTTATTCCCATTCTACTTTGATTTAATCCGTAAGTTAGCAAATATTGTGATTTGTCTGGTAATTACTAGTATCCCTAATGTTGCAAGAGAATATTTCGATGTTTGCATGCATTATAACACACGTTTAAAGTTTCCAGAGAAAGAAGATCTATAATTCATTTAGAAGTATTTTTTAAAAAAATACTTTTTCATGATGGATTCTGAGACAAAATTCTTTGTTTTGCAATAAATATAAATTACTCGTGTAAATACCAATACTCTATGATAATGGAATAGAAAGCTTATAAGGATTTTTAAAGTGAAGAAAGGACATGATGATTTATTTCATTCTTTGTTTAATGATACAAAAGAAGATTGAATTTTCTTTCTAAATACGAGGGTTGATCCAAAAGTTCGTGGAATTCTTTCTAAAATTTTATTGTGATGTGATTAAAGCAAATAAAAGACATATTTATAAAATAGTTCCAATTACTATTAAGGTCACAGGAGCCTTCTTAACATGGACAATTGTAAAATCCGGGGGAGACTTCGACGTAACGTCATTAGGTATGTCACGTCACATTGTAGGAGCATCTCACCCTTACGTTCAAATCGACCTAGAAATTCTACAGAACGCTATATTAATTCTTTTCTCCATTTCTGCTCTCGAGAAAAGCCTTGGTACCCACCTCGCACCCACTTTCTTTTTATTACGATCATTTTTCAAGACTGTGCTCCATCGTTCCATATTATTTTCCTATTTCAGTAGCAATTTCAACCACAGCGGTCCTCGTCTATTAACGCTCTCACTTTGTCTACGAGGAAAAAACGACCTTCCAATGGGTAGCCATACTTTTCATCATCCTTCACGGTAGTTCTATTTTCCTTAAATTTCTCAGCCCACTGGAAAGCCAGTGGCCTACTGCACTTTTGTCCTGCCTTTATCAGTAGTATATGCGTTTAAGTCGGAGTGTTCCCGAGATTTTCACAAAACCTATTACTTGACCGAATTTCGATGTTGTCTAACGAAGTCATGATGAACAACAAATCATCAATAGGAAAACTAAATATCCAGTAAAATCGATAAAACTTTCACACAAAGGTTTATAAGAAGTCAAACAATCGTTATAATGACATCATTTTCGTTTCATATGCTACTTAACGTGTATTTTCCCTCACAATGAGTATTAATGATAATGAACGAATAAATGTCTCCCCCGCATTTACAAACATTCGTTTCTATGGCAATGCCAAAGTGTTACTATTGTGAATATTTAAAATATTTTTTTTTATTTAAAAAAATCCAACAAGTATATAAAAACTATATATATATATATATATATATATATATATATATATATATATATATATATATATATATATATATATATCTCCATCTGTAATTTTCAATCACTTCCACCAACATGACCAATAATTAAATAAAATACATGTATTAAGAAATTCCAAGAACTTTTGGATCAACCCTTGTATATGCTTTTAAATTGTTTCTTGAGAAGTATCAAGTTAAAATTTCTATTGTCTAGAGGACGTACAGTTGGTGAACGATACCTTCTACGGATTATTTATCTCCTCCGTGTAAGTATGGCATTATTAACAGGCCCGTAGGAAGCAATTTCAGTTTGGGGGGGCACAGCCAAACATTTTTCAGTTAACAGTTGAGGGGGCACTACCAAAATTTTCTGACAAGCAAAAAAAAAAAAAAAAGGTCGTCAACTACCAAATATTCCTTGACAAGCAAAAAAAAAAAAAAAAAGGTCATCAGGCGGTTTTATTGAGGGGGCACATGCTTATAGTATCTATGTTTACTATAGTAATCTATATATCGGCAAAATTATTGGGGGGGCACGGCCCCCCGTGCCCCCCCGGTTCCTACGGCCATGATTAACAACGCCACATGCAAGTTATTACTCTGTATACAGTAACAACAGCTATCCATGCAGTTATAAGTCTCTAGACAGTAACAATAGTGACACATGCAAATATAATCTATAGACAACAACAGCTATTTCATGCAATTATTAGTCCATAGAGACCAACAACAGCTACACATGTTATCAGTCTATAGACAGTAATAACTACACATACAGTTACTAGTGTAGTGCCCCATTCTGGAAAATTTCATTCCGTTGTCAGGTTTTTTTATTATCGTGTTGTCGTCTGCCAATTTTTCACGTTTTCAGGTTGCACAACAGTATTAAATTCTGCTATATATTCTTACCAAAATTACTCACCTTTAGTATGGCCTCACTCATTCAAAACAAACTTCTCAGACGTTTTACTTTCACATCTTGTAGTACTACTGTTACTTAACATTTCAGTACAAAAAAATACATACCCATCCAGCAAGGCGTACGTTCAAGTTTGTTTACATCGAAGTCAAGTAGGTGCTTGAAAGCCATGTGTTTGGCCTCATCACTCAATCCTGAAATAAAATTTAGAAAAAATATTTATTGGTCTCATTTATTTTTAAGGTCTTCCGTTTCCAACGGAAGACCTTCTACTGATTCTGATGGTTAAGATTATTAAGGTCTTCCGTTTCCAACGGAAGACCTTCTACTGATTGTGACGATTAAGATTATTCTTTTTTTTTTTTTCCTAGACGCCAACTTTGACGCTTCATATCTTCCTCATTTTTAAAAAGATTTTGTTCAAATTTTCAGAGCTTTTAGACTTTACAAAACACTGTCAGAATACCGTAATACAATTCGGAAATTACCTTCTGTTCACGAGTTATTCCCCTTTGATTGAATTTTGCATGCCTCCGATTTCCAGACAAAGGCTCAGAAATGGTTATAATTGGAGCACAAAACCCTTTGAAATTGAAAAGAGGAAGCATTGAAGTTGTGCACATCGGTTTTTATTTTTTGATTTTTGCATTAAAAATGGCGCTAGAGAGGGGTCAAAAGTTAGAACGCGGAAAACAGCAAAAAATTTGACATATTTTCCTTTATATCTTGAAAACTAGAAATATTTTGTTAAGACATGTAGAACAAAAGTTGTGCATAATTGCAAGGGCTTTCATATTATACTATTTAAAAGGGGCTGGCCCCTATGATTAGAGATCTTGGGCCCTTAAAAGTTTCTGCTTTATAACTCAAAAACGGTAAATATTTCGATCTGGATCTTGGAAACAAAATTGTTCTTTTACACCTTTTTGATCTAATGAAAATGTTGTTTTGTTCGAGAATACCATGGGTATTGCGTAATACGTATTAGAAAGCAGGCCAGGTAAACAGGTAACGTTTTTCATTCGGCAAGGAAATCAGACCTCTTCATGTGTATAACTTAAACAGACTTGCTATCAATAATATACCCTGCGGTATTTAATGTTAATTTTCTTTTTAATAAGGTTTAAAACGTGGTTTATGGTTCACTATTAAATTATTTATTACAACTAGTCTTTCTTTTCTTCTTTTTTAAATTAGATTAATAGTGTTCAAAAGCGGAGAATATTAAATCTATCTTTCTACGTTTCTTATTACAACAAACTTTGTAAGTGATTTTAAACTGTATGCATTGAATAATTCACGATCATTAGCTGTATGCATATTACGGTCTCCATGTTCAGCTCGATGTTTAGTTATGTAACCCAACGCGCGAATCCCACGCCTTTGATCGAGGTCACCAGTGTACTAGCCACCTGTGGTCATAAACAAAGCTAGTATTTGTGATCGCGTATAATGTCAATTTTGTACAAAGAGCTATTAATTAATGGAAAGTTATGTTTTTGATTATATCGAATCAGTAAGATTACTTTACGGATCTTTTATAATCTTAATTCCAAACACTGGTGCATAAAAATCATTTTGAATTTTAATCGCTGTTTTTGTCTGTTCACGCAACAATACATTTAAAAAAAGTATTGCTCTATCCCGTGTTGTTGTATTTTAATTCATCTGCAATTGTAATTGAATGGGGGGTTCGGTAAATAATTGTAATTACTACGCATGCTACGCACATATTATTTTTACCATCACTCTTGTGAATGTCCATTTATTATTTATAGAATTAAATAAACATTAACATAAATAAAAATTCCTTCAAATATACATGTAGTATAATTCAAGTCTTTGTAATATAGCAAACAGTTTCATCCATCTCTGCCGCTTTGTGTCTTAAGTGTTGAAGTCCAGTCCTCGTTTACATACACGTGGCCACAGAGAGCCGCGGGCACCTCCATGTCGAACAAATTATTTTTTCTACTTAACTTGTTACTGTATGCGAACAAAATGATAAACGTGTAATTATTTATAGGTTCCCATTATTTTTTCTGAAAATCAGAACACATTTATCAGCTCTCTTAAGGTTTTACGGACACATACAATGTACACGCATGCAAGTACAGAAAATGCACGTTTTATAAGTGCATATGCAAGAGCGCCCCAAATATATGCATATCGAGTTTGAAATACAGAAAAATTCTAAATCCCGTATTTTTTTTTCCATTATTTTTGCAATGAAATATCGACTACACTGAAATGATTTTATTGATTTACAGCATATATTAAAGTGAATTATAGGTCCGCTGAGTTGATCATGAGTTGTTTTCCTGGCCAGTCATCGTCACGGTTTGTAACATCGTAATTACACACGTAAATGATAAGATGCCAATCCATATATTTTCCATTAGAAATGAATTACCGGGAGATGTCTCGTTTTCTCTGATCATATATTAATTGACAGCGTTTATGAACAGCTGTTAAAACACAGACCTTTGTAAACCGGTAAATCACAAAAAAGAAAAATCCGAGAAATATAAATATCTCTGGAAATAACATTGCCTTTAGATAACTAAAATAAATTAATGTCCGCCGATTTTTGAATTAATCCGAACATTCATTGATGTGTACCGGTATAGTGTACCTGTACAGGCAGTGTGTATATTTTTATGAAGCCTTCGTCCAAACGAACAATATAATAAATCTTGAATGAATTAACAAACCCCTTCAGTACACACACATTCGCCTATACCTGAGATCTAATCAAAATCAGATCTTTTCTACGGCCCGGAATTCTGATAGTCGCTGTATTTCTAATCTGATTGACTATACACGTACCTTTCACAAATATTCTTTAATTTTCTTCGGGACCCCTGCATCACTAGTCAGGTGCTGTACCGACTGAGCTACCCAGGCCGATATCCACGACCCAAACCATTATAGTTTAAATAATAAATAATTAATAAAACTTTTATTAACTAATATCTTCATTTTTTTAAAAATAAATTTTTAACTTAATTATAAGAAATCAATGCAGGTGCTTCACGTGTCAATTATTGTGATAGAGGTACTTACCACGTGACCTGATCATAATGCATTCATATTGGTCAACTCTGTGATGCATGTGTGTATTTATCAAACCTTTCAAACTCTTTCCTCTTGACACCATCTTTAAGTGTATTAAAAAGTCAAGCGACTTCCTGTCAATTTTGAATATCGCCACCGCACGTGTATTTTGAACTTTGATTACCAATTTCATTATTTTCATCAATAATAAATATCCTTTTAGCCTGTCATTTTCGAAATTTTAAAAACTAAACTTCACACAAAAAATCACGGACTTCTTGTTAAGTTATAATGCAAACAAACGACTGAAATATCTTGAACACAAGAAGGGTTGGTGAGGTGCATAACTACATGTATAAAATAAAAAGAAGCAAAGGCGGATCCAGGGCCTGCGCGCCGGGCGCACGTCCCCCCCCCCCTTCCGTTCCGTTTTCGAATTTTTTGTATGTAGAACTTATATGTCCATTATCCTTAAATCAAGGAAAAAACATCTCTTATTTGTAAGAATTTGTCAACTTCTGGGGGCTTCCCCACCAGGGTTTTGTTATAGACCCTCTGGGGGCTTCATTGCAGCCCCCCCCCTCAGACCCCTCCCCTGCCTTCTACTTTGCCCCCCCCCCCCCCGTTATGAAATTCCTGGATCTGCCACTGCAAGGAGCGTAATAAACAAGAATAATATAACTTTGAAGGGATGTGATCATCGGTATTGGTACTTTTACCTATGATATATACAAAAAGACCTCTAGATCTACAAGACAGAAATAAAGCTTGAGCGGCAGCTCTGCTTTAAAACATGTATCTACTTTTCGGTACAATCATAGAAAATTATAAGTATTTAGCAAATCCTTGCTACAAAGCACAAACACCATAATATTAAACTTGACATGTAACTAAAATTATTCCATCAATAATCCACGAACATACATTGAAAGGATTATAAAATTAATATCTGTAGAAATTAAAAAGCAATTTGAAATTTAAAAAAAAAAAACTGTCGGCGAGTTTCTTATTGCTGCTATTGCGTTGAACATGCCATTTGATTGACAATCTCTCTATATATGTATATAATTTTTTGTATTATTTTCATTTTTTATCTTAATAATTAAATATTACTGATTATTTCTATTTTTATCATTATTTTGTACTACACGTATGTGTTTGTGGTTTAAGTGCAAAGTTAGACTGTAGATTATAAAACTATAACATATGCCAGGACAGACATTTCTACATGTTACTTTTCAAGGACATAGCACTGAAAGGGTGGAGGGGGGGGGGCAGCCAGAGAAAAAAATTAACTTACCTGAAAAGACTTACCAAGCAAAACCAAAATAGGAAAATAGCCCAGAATCCTATTTCCTGGCGGAAAGGGGTGGGGACAACGGGACTATACTGCAACAAAAAGTGGGGGCCAACGGGACTTTCAATGAACATTACTAAAGTAAAAAAATAGGTCTGAAAAAAGGGGGAGGCTGATGCTACGTGCCTGCTCTTATAGCTCATGCTTTATTTGATCTGCAATATCATAAGTTTACTTGATTGAATATCTCGGAGTCTCTCTTATCCTTTCTACAGCCTTTTAGTTTGACCAACTATGCAAAATTTAGCCTTTTGAACAGTTGGCGTTAGGGCTTTCATACTTCACATCCGAAATTCTTTGTGACAAGACCTTTTCTTTGGAATAAATATTTTTGACCTTGTGACGTTCACCTTGGAGTTTGACCCACTTTTTAAAAAATCTAACCTTGGCAATACCTTTTGAACGGTTGGGACTAGTGTTTTCAGATTCACAGGTGTATTCCTTGTGAAAACGCTGTTCATTGGATATCAACAATTTTTACTATTTGACCTTGACCTTGGAGTTTGACGTACTTTAAAAAAAATTAAAAGTTTTGACTTTTTACCTTTGACCTTAGAGTTTGACCTACCTTTGAAACATTTTAATCTCATTCATAACTTTTCAACGGTTGATGTTAGGGTTTTCGTATTTTTACATGTGTTTCTTGTGACAAGACCCTCCCTTGAGTACCGACAGTTTTGACTTTTGTCCTTGATCTTGGGGTTTGACCTACTTTTGAAAAAAAAAACCGTTGACCTTTGTCATAACTTTTGAATAATCAATGCTAGGGCTTTCATATTT